TTCTGGCATGCAGACACACAAGAAGGCAGAACACTGTATACATAATAAATAAATAAATCTTTAAAAAAAAACACAATACAAAAACAAAACAAAACAAGACAAGTTAGGAGAGGTAGGGACTCTCTCCTTCCCAACCCCCAGAAGGTTTCATTTACGTTCCAGTGGATACCATTCTTGTTTTAAGAGGAAGAGGTGGGGGACGAGGATCCCCGGGACACGAGTCGGGGACTCCAGGTGTGGGACAGAGAGGACACTCCCGTTACTAAGCTGAGTCATCCGGGGAGCCCCTCCTTGCCTCCTCCACTGTTGCTCTGTAAAGCACCTCCTAGACTTCCTTGTTGGTCAATGGAAAGTCCACTGGGCTGTAGCAGTGGACTTCCACAGGGGGATGGTCCCAGCCGGACATAGAGCAGGAGCAACTGGGGCAGTAGGGAGGCGCCATGACCTTGAAACACTTAACCGCAATTACATTTAAAAAAAAAAAAATTCCGGGGTTGGGGATTTAGCTCAGTGGTAGAGCGCTTGCCTGCCACTACTCTGAGCTGATTCCTTCTAGGAGCAGTTTGGTCTTCTGCTCCTCTGAGGCTTGCAAGCACAAGGCCCTGGGTTCGGGCCTCAGCTCTGAAAAGAAAAAAAAATTCCTGAAGGAGCCAGGTTAGGTGTGGGAAATTTAATAGCAGTGGACCAGGAAAAGGAAGCTCTGAGCCCTGGCTTGCACGTTGGTGTTGAAGTGAGGCTCCAGTCAGTGTTTTGTGTCTGTCTGTTGCCGAATGCTAGCCTTGGCTCCAGGACATTGACCTGCCCGGCAGGGCAGGCAGTGATAGATGCCTACTCTGAGCTGATTCCTTCTAGGAGCAGTTTGGTCCTCTGCAAGGAGGCAGGCAGCTGGTCCTGACTCAGGGAAGATGCAGGATGGCTCCTGCTGCGACCAGAGAGAAGCAGCGATGCCCTACGGAGGCTGTGGGAGTTGAGAGACAGGTGTGTGTGTGTGTGTGTGTGTGTGTGTGTGTGTGTGTGTGTGTGTGAGATCAGGGAGGCTTCCTGAAGGAGTTGGGCATCTGTTGGGTAGCACGTGGGGGGGGGGGTGTTGTCGTGGGAGCGGCCCCTTCCACCCTGTGGAAGGCTGAGATGACTCCGTGGCCCCTGGTGGTGGGGGCTTGGTGCACAGCGCTCCCTGGCCCTGAGAGCTCAGTTTGCTTCACTGATGTCTGCTGGCCCAGGTGCTGTTCTGGACAAGCCAGGACAGCTCTGCCCTCCAAGGTGCCACTGAGCCCCCTTGCAGCCCCCAGCCCCTGCACCCTGCTTTCGTTAAGGTTCTTGCCTTTTCTAGATTGCCGTGTGCTGCCGTGAGGTAACAAAAGTTGGCCTTTGGGGCCAGGCTTACTCCTCCTCTTCATGTGACTGTGACTCTGTTATAGTGATGTGTCTTCCACTATGTCACCGTTGCCGAATGAGTCCCCATGGCACAGCTCTACGGGGCTTTGTTCCTCGGTCACCAGCTGACGGGCATTAGTAGTGGTCTCAGGCACTGGCCATGTGAGTCCTGAAGCTATGGAGGAGCATCCTTCAGGCTTGTTCTCTGGTAGAACCGTTTAGGTGGAACTGCTGAGTCACGTGGTGGCTTACCTTGGTAAGAAACTTCAGGACTTGTGGGCTTGTTTGCGGTGGCTCACGATTTTCATCCCAGTACTCGACGGGACAAAGCTGAGGGAGGAGATGATCGGGAGCTCTCCGGGACTACATACCGAGTTCCTAGCCAGCCAGTGCTACGCTTGTCTCAAATACATAAATATCAATCGAATAAACAAAACTACGGAGCCGTTTTTTTGCGGGGGAAGTAGCTGCAGGACTTCACTTGGCCAGCTGTGTGAGAGCCTGGGAATTCCAGGGCCTTGGTTATTGAGTCTTTGGAAATGTGTCACTGAACGTGAGTGAGCACTGTCCTCGCGTCGCGTGCTTGTTTCGATGGGTGCACGTCCTCACGGCTCTTGTCCATCTTTAAGCAGTTCTTGTGTGTGTGTGTGTGTGTGTGTGTGTGTGTGTGTGTGTGTGTGTGAATTTCATATGGAGCCGTGGGATTTAGTGCCTCTTTGGTAGGTCAGGATTAAACAGGATAATACATGACAGATTCCTGGCCGTCAGGAAATCCACCCATCGACCCCCCTCCACCATGTGCTTCTGCCGCTCCATTGGCCCAGAAACAATGGTGCCAACCCACCATTGCCTGAAACCATTGGATCTGTAGACCAGAATGAACCTGTCTTCCGGTCTGTTGACTACCCAGGTATTTTGTTATTCTAAAGATACAGCAAGTTGTTTACATACCTATGCTAATGGACTGCCTAAACCGCCTTGTTTCACGCCCACCCTCCCATCCTCCACCTCCAAGACGTCCCACAAGAGCCTCCTCGGGAGCCCACTCACACCCCTGCCAAGCTGACCAGGGTCATCAGCAGTGGTCTGATTATCAGTACCACTGACCTTAGCAACCTTGGGTGCCTCTGCGTCACTGTGTAATAGGACCGTCTACACATCTTAAAGGCCCTTTCGGTTTTCAAAGGATGCTGCCCACCCTAGCTGCTTGTTCTGCCAGCTGTGCACATCTGCATTGTCTGCTGGCTGTCCTTGCAGGCTACCAGCTGGGGCCTGTCATTGTCTACGAGCCCAAGGCAGGGAGGAATTAGAGGCAAAGGGTGGGTGAGGTAGAGCCTGTCCTGTGGGAATGGGCCTGGGCTTGGCCTGTGGCAGCTGTGGCCGGCAATGGACTCATGCCCAGTTCCCTCTTTTCCTATTGGAACCGTCTCACTCACATTCCGTTGGCCCAGGCTGCTGGGAGGAGGCCTGGGAAACTTCAGTGTGGAGGCTAGCAGCTGGAGGGGCTGCTGAAGAAGAGAGAGAGAGAGAGTTCTTTTTCTGTGGCCCATCGGCTGGGGTCCACCGAAAAGCCCTGCTTTGTGAGCTACCTGATTTCCTGTTCGGGAATATAAAGGTTCATTCTTTGTACCTTTGAGGGGTGGGGGATCGAGCAGTGTCTCCAGAGCCAGGGAGATGGGCTCTTAGACACAGGTGTGGGGCGGTCACCAGGACTGTCAGGAGGCTCCTGGGAGTTTTCAAGGCTGCTGAGGCTAAAGAAAACAGGGGGCCTTTTCTGTATGGGACAAGAACTGTCAGTAGTAGGAGAAGGTTCTAGAAGGGCAGAGGAGATGGTCAGTTTCTCCCTGAGTACCCAGGACAAGAGATAGCTCCGGGGAAGGATCCCCTATATACAGTGTTGGGAGGCAGAAGAAGAGTCTGCTTGGGCACTGTGAGCTCTAGGTCAGGCCTAAGGACTGCAGACTGATTTGCCTGCCTTTGTGCTGACCCCCACTGTTCACACCTCTGGGTGCCATGGCAGTGATGAAAGGGTGGTGTGGGGCTGAGGGGTGGGAGTGTGTGCTCAGGAGCAGACAGTACCCATGATTCGCAGCTGGGAGAGCTGCCATGTTTTAGGCTACACAGTGGGCCATCTCCCAAGTGTAAAAGGGTGTAGGGGAACTACCAGGATCCCCCTACCCATACTCATATCTGTGCCATGTGTGATGTCTGTGGCCACAGAGTTCCTAGAAACTCCCATGACCCTGGCTCTGCCATGTCTTCAACTTTCTGTGGAATACCCAGCCTCCTTTTTTCCGGCAGACCCCAAGCCTCACGCCATCCTCCAGCTCTTCAGCCGTAGCCATAGCCCTTGAATGTTAACCTCAGCCTGGCCGGACCCATTTCCTCCCAGGATGCCTAGCTTTCTGTGGGTGAGAAAGCGCTGCCCCCCTCTCTCCCAAAGGCCGCGGACGCTGATCAGATGTTGTCGTGGGGTGCTGTGGCCGCTAATCTCTTTGAACACTTCATCGGATGGAAGCTCACCTAGTTTGGATGTCTCTGGCCTCATTCTAGGAAACTCACGGGTAGAATGTCTTCCTGTGTGCCTGTCCTGGCAGAATGACGCAGAGGAGATGAGCACGGCCTCGGGCCCATTCCTGTCCAAGCCCTCTCCACCCAGCTTCATCTCCTACTCTCTGAGCCTAGAAGTCCTGAACCACCATCACCCCTGTGGGCAGCTCTCCTTTCCTGACTGTACTCCATGTCACCCCATGATAAGTGCTCTGTGGCCGAGCTACATCTCAGTCCCTCAGCCCTTCTTTTTTTTAAATTATTTTCCTAAGCTGGGCGGTGGTGGCGCACGCCTTTAATCCCAGCACTCGGGAGGCAGAGGCAGGCGGATCTTTGTGAGTTCGAGGCCAGCCTGGTCTACAGAGCGAGTTCCAGGAAAGACGCAAAGCTATACAGAGACACCCTGTCTTGGGGGTGGGGGGATTATTTTCCTGAACATGTTCAGGGCTTTAATTTTTTTTAACTTATTTTCATGTATATGGATACCTTGCCTGCATATATGTGTCTGTGCACTGCATGTGTGTATGATGCCTTTAGAGTCCAGAAGAGGGTGTCAAGTCCCCTGGGATAGTTGTGAGCTGCTGTGTGGGTTCAGAGAATTGAACCCGGGTCCTCTGGAAGAGCAGCCAGTGCTCTTAACCTCTGAGCCATCTCTCTAGCCCCTCTTAGTGGCTGGCACAGCCTGCTCTCCCCACCACCCTCGGGGTGGTCCTGACTTAGTTTCCCAGGCCCCTTTCCTCTCTCCTTCGCTTGGCTCTAGTTACCTCTTTAGAGCACACAGGGAACAGAGATGGGCCCGGGAGGCTCTGGGAGAAGCCTCCCTAAGTAGCTGGAGCTGGTCCTTCTCTGTATAGAACTCTCCCACAGCGTCAGCAGAGCTAGGTGCCCCTGAGAGTTTGTGTCTGCAGCCATGATGGGGACTGCTTCTTTTTTTTTTTTTTTCAGAGCTGAGGACCGAACTCAGCACCTTGCGCGAGCTAGGCAAGCGCTCTATCACCGAGCTAAATCCCTGACCCCGGGGACTGCTTCTTAATGGGTTTCCTGCCCCTCTGAACTGTGTGTCCTCTTCCCTGCAGGTCTGGGGTCCTGAGGCGGCTGGCAGACTATGGGTACAACAGCAAGCACGGCCCAGCAGACAGTCTCGGCAGGCACCTCCTTAGAGGGCCTGCAGGGCGGCAGCGCCATGGATGGCAGGCATTCCCTCAGTGTGCAGTCCTTCCACACCACAAGCTTGCACAACAGCAAGGCCAAGTCCATCATCCCCAACAAGGTGGCCCCTGTTGTGATCACGTGAGTATCAGGGGACACGTGATCATGTTCCTGGAAGACGTGGTCTTGGGAGGGTGGGGAACCTGTGTGCACTTAATGCTCACAGACAAAGGCTTCCAGTTTTGTAGCTGAAAACACCAAGTCTCACCCAGAGAGGTTAGGCAGTATTTCTGGAGTCACACAGCAAGCAGGTTGTAGGGCCGGAGTCTCTGATTCTGTGTTGCTTACCCAATGTGCACAGTGCCAGAAGCCTGGGGAAGGAAGACTGGCCAAAGGAACATCCTTTTTACTACTCCCCCCACCCCCAATTTTTTTTCAAGACAGGGTCTCACTATGTATCCTGAGCTGGCCTAGGACTTGCCATGTAGACCAGGCTGTCCCTTATCACAGAGATCCACCTGCCTCTGGCTCTCAAGTGCCATGATGCCCCATAGTAGTTCTTTTTTTTTTTATTCAGGGCCCTGGGCTGGAAAGCTGGGAGCTTCTCCTCCATGTTCCAGCTGGGGCCTCCAGGAACACTGAGTGAGGAGGCAGAGGTTCGCTCTTGTTAGCATGCTTTCAGCAGCCTGGACACAGAAGCATCCAGGAGGGCCAGGAAGGACATCTGTGTGTGGATGAAGGAGTGGATACTTCCGGGAGCTAGAGACAGGAGCATGCAGGGACCCTGGGTCTGCCTCCTGGGGAGCCAGAAGCCTTATTCTTCCCATCACACCTGTCTACCATGCTCCCTCATCTCTGGCCCTTCCTGGAACGCAGGAGGGAGGACATGGGGCTCTAAGAACTAAATACATCCCACACATGAATTTGGCAGAGACCTGGGAGATGGGCTTTCTGTGAAAAGAAGACCAAGACCGTGGGTGGAGTGACCAGGCTGCTAGCCCCAGGGCTTGGCAGGAAAGCAGTGATTACCATAAATGACTGTGTTTGGGATGAAGGCAGAAAAGAAATGTCACGCAAAAGTGACTTGACCGGCAGTGAAAGTTAGTTTGGGTGGCTGGGTGGTGTGGTGGCGCACGCCTTTAATCCCAGCATTTGGGAGGCCGAGGCAAATGGATCTCTGTAAGTTCAAGACCAGACTGGTCAACATAGCTAATTCCAGGACAGCCAGGGCTACATAGTGAGACTGTATCTTTAAACAAACAAACAAACAAACAAAGGAAGAAAAGGAAAGAAAGAAAGAAAGAAAGAAAGAAAGAAAGAAAGAAAGAAAGAAAGAAAGAAAGAAAGAAAGAAAAAGGGAAAGGAAAGGAAAGAAAGAAAGAAAGAAAGAAAGAAAGAAAGAAAGAAAGAAAGAAAGAAAGAAAGAAAGGCAGTTTGGATGTTGAAGTCAGCCTTGGGAAAAGTAGGTCTGGAGCCTGGGCTCTGCCTCTTTGTTCTTTCTCTGGGCCTCAGTTTCCTCAACAGCATAAGCAGAGATGACAGGGGAAATGTGGGACTGGGTCAGGTGGCTCAGACAGGTACTGGCTACCTGAAAATGTCCGCCAGGAATGGGCTGTGCTTGCGGCCCTCCTTGGGTTGCAGACTGAGGTGGAAGGGACCTTACAGATCATTCAGCAGAGGCACCAGCTTGCTGCATCCCGCAGGCCAAATCTGGCCCACCACCTGCTGATGTAAATAAAGTTTTATTGGTCCACCGTTAGGCCCATCCACTTGCACATCACCTGTTGATACCTAGTGCTTCCATGGCAGGATTGCCAGGCTGGAGCAGAGCCTGTGTGACCCACAAAGCCAGAAATGATGGTTTTCAGTCCTTTGCAGGAAAGGTTTGCAGAGCCCTGGTCACGGCAGATAGATGGGAAAACTGAGTTAGATAGGAAAATGGGTTTTAGGGAGGCAGAGGGTGGGCCAGTGTGAAGGGTTAACAAGGTAGAGGCAGAGCAGGAGCCAGGCCCCCGGCTCATGCCGCTGTCCTCCCACCCCACCCATTTGCCCACTACTTCCTGCAGGCAGCTGTTTTGTATGGAGCCCCCAGCACGAGAGCCTGAGCTCTGGCAGGGAGGTCTCGTGCCCTGGTACAGTGGCAGCGTGGCTTTGTGTCTCGAGCACACAGACATCCTGCTTTAGTCATTGTGTCTTTACCTAGCTTCCTGTCTACAGAAATCATCATGGGCTTCTTTAAACAGCTGGTGTGTGTGGTCAGGCCTGTTGTGGGTGATAATTAGGCCTGAGGAATTGAAACACCTGTAAACAGCCAGGGTCGGGACTCACTCTTAGAGTTTGTGGCCTGAACCGCACTGGACTCTAGGCTTGGAAGTGTGGGGACTGTGTTCCAAGTCACAACCTGAGGGATAGGCCATCCAATGTCAGTGTCTTCATCAGGGTCCAGGGTAGATTATCATAACAAAGTATTGCCTGTATAGAATGCTTGTATCAAGACGGATACTCACCTCTCATTTGGGTGTCCAGGCTGGTATGGCAGACCGTGACCATGCAGGGTCCCCCAGCGGCTTACCATAATTTCATCAGCATGTGCCTCTGTCTTTTGGGACAACTGTTCTACTTCTGCCAGGGGAAGGGGGCGAGCAAAAGACACACTTAGAAGGCATCCCCCTTTGGGAGTGGCCCAGAATTTGCCCCACCTCACTCCCAGGCATCTCATTGGCCAGAGCTTACTCACAGGAAGACCGCTAGCTGCAAGGGAGGCTGGGAAATGTAGTCTGCAATGGGGAGTCGCCCAGGTCTCCGTCTCAGTTCTGGTGTTCTGTGTGTGGTGAGGATGAAGGGGCGGCTGCATGGGTGGGGGTGAGATGGCTTTGCCGTGGGTTCTGGTGGCAGTGCCAGGGACCGACCCAAAGGCCGCCTGACTCAGTTTGCACTGTGCCCCTGGCAGGTACAACTGCAAGGAAGAGTTCCAGATCCACGAGGAGCTGCTCAAGGCCCATTACAGGATGGGCAGGCTCTCAGATGCCAGCCCTGAGCACTACCTGGTGCAGGTGAGGGCAGCCCTGCCCACTCACCCCACTCCGCCTCCTCACCCCCTTCTCTGCTGCTTCTCCACTTCCACCTTCTCTGGCTCTGTCTCTCAGTCCTTCTTTGGAACTCGGGTCCTTTCATACGCTAGACAAGTGTTCCCCCACTGAGCCATGGCCCAGCCCCTCAGCTCTTCTTAACCACTCATGTGGTCTTCTCGCCCTTCGGGATCCTGGTCCCAGACTCTAGCTCCCGCTCCCCCTCCCTGCCCCCGTCTGGTATTCTCCATCTTCCTGTAGACCGGTGGTTCTCTACCTTGCTAACGCTGCGACCCTTTATTATAGTTCCTGATGTCGTGCTGACCCCCCCCCCCCCCAACTGTAACATTTCCATTGCTACTTCAGGACTGTAATTTTGCTACTGTTAGGAATCATAATGTAAATCTCTTTGGAGATAAAGGCCTGTCAAAGGGGTCTCAACCCGTAGGTTGAGAACCGCTGTGAAACTTTCAGTGTTTTAGAATTTATTGGAGTTAGCTCCTTCCCCCTCTATCCCCCCCATGTCTCATGGGGGTGAAAAGTCCAGAGACCTGCTGTTTTAAAATCCATTGTTTGGTACTGTTGTCCCGTGATCATTGGTGGGGGAGCCGTGTAGGACCGGCTAGAAACTGGGTGACTGGCTGACTGGCAGACTGATAATCATTGTGGACGTTTCTGGTTTGTCTGGGGGCACAGGTCTCACTCCTTGTCTGTCAGGCAGGGGTCACAGGAGATGTCCCAGGATTCTGGTCTGCACAGGAATGAACTCTTTTTTGTTTTGTTTTATTATTTTTTATTATTTTTTTAAGATTTATTTATTATTATATATACAGTGTAATATCTGCATGTATCTCTAAAGGCCAGAAGAGGGCCCCAGATCTATTACAGATGGTTGTGAGCCACCATGTGGTTGCTGGGAATTGAACTCAGGACTTCTGGAAGAACAGCCAGTGCTCTTAATTGCTGAGCCATCTCCCCAGCCCCCTATTTTTTTATTTTTTAGAGGCAGGGTTTCTCTGTGTTATTTTGGTGCCTGTCCTGGATCTCGCTCTGTAGACCAGGCTGGCCTCGAACTCACAGAGATCCGCCTGCCTCTGCCTCCCGAGTGCTGGGATTAAAGGCGTGCGCCACCACTGCCTGGCAAGAATGAACTCTTGACCAGCTAGGTTTCTGATCTTTTCTCTGTAGTCACTGTGTGTCATTTCACTCAAGTCTCATCCTTGGAACTGGTAGGGGCTCCCGGGAGGAGCTGGCCTAGTGATCTTCTGGCTCAATCCAGACATGACCCCTTTTCCCACAAGCCTTGCTAAGAGCTCAGGGTGTCCTGTTGTCCTCCAGGGGACCTGCGGGCCCCCTTTGGAGCCAGCTTTGGCTTGCAGTTCCAATCTCTGCTCTCTTCAAGGCCTGGCTGGCGCCAGGTGAAGCCTGAACCAAACACGTTTCTGTCACAGATGTCTGTCCCATGAACAGGAAAGCAGCTTGAGGGCCATGTTCTCACCCCCACCCCAGTTCCTCCTTCCTTGTCCCCTAAAGTCCAGGACAGAGTTCTGCCTGAAGAGAAACCCTTGCATCCCTGATTGATCTGCTGTGATTCTCTCTGCCAGGGTCGCTATTTCCTGGTGCGTGACGTCACTGAGAAGATGGACACGCTGGGCACCTTGGGGAGCTGTGGGGCTCCCAACTTCCGGCAGGTGCGGGGCGGACTCCCTGTGTTTGGCATGGGACAGCCCAGCCTCCTGGGGTTCAGGAGGGTCCTGCAGAAACTCCAGAAGGACGGGCACAAGGTGAGCTTGCTTTGTCCCAGGCTGGCCCTTGATGGCAAGAGGTGATTTCCGAGGCTCTGGAGTGGCTCACCTGGGGCTGGGAAGGGAGTGTGGCCTAGGTTAGTGTGGCCTCAACCTTCAGGCAGAAACTGGAGAGTGTTTATTACATTGTCCTGTTGGTAGTGGGTGGTGGGGTGGGGGTGGGGGTGGGGAAGTAGGGGGGTGGGACTGCCCAAGGTCAGAAGCCTCTTGTACACCCCTTGAGAGCCTTGGAGGAAGTGAGAGGTGACAAGAGAGCCACTTTCCAACTCCAGAGACTGCCACATAGTGGTCTTAGCTGACACTTAAATCTGTCAACTCTGTAAAAAAAAAAAAAAAAAAAAAAAAAAAAAAGGGCCCCATTTTACAGAGCAGGACACTGAGGTCCTGAGAGGAAAAACTGGCATTGTTCAAGGTCACATAGCTCCTGTGTGGTACCTGAAGGCTCCTGTGTGATACCCCAGGTAATTAGACCCGAGGTACCTGCTTTCAAAAGCTTCCTCTCACCTGCCTGAAGAAGGTGGGATAAGGCCAAGGGGTTGCTGTGACCCCAGATTCCTCAGCTGTGGCAGTGACTGTATTGGCCTGGGATGAGGCTGAGTGGGCAGAGTCAGAAAGAATGGCAGGGGGGCTGTGTGCAGGTCCTGGCTTCTCAGTGTGACCCTAGCTCATTGGAGATGGCTCTCTCTGCTGTAGCTCAGCCAATGGCTGACTGCTTGGTGGAGAGGCCATTCTCCCAGTTCTTTGTTGGGGCTGGTCTATATCAGGCACTGGTGTACGCAGTGGAAAGGTATTGTGGGCCTGTGGAAAAGGCCAGAATGCGATTCTGCCAGAATGTGATATGTAGTCCACCCAGAGAGAAAAGACAGACCTACGGACATGTTCATGAGTTAAAATGCAAGAGAACTTGCTTGGAGACTGAAAAGATAGTTGGCCTGAGAGGAGAATGGATTCCTGCTTGATTGAGGGGAGTGGGGGACGGGGGCGGGGCAGGCTGCGGCGATTAGACGGAACTTCAGTTTCTTTAGGATTCCTGTTGAAGGGACTGGTCCGGTGTTTCACCCTGGATGAGGGAGGAACTATCTGGATAAAGATCCAGAGGCTGGACCGGGGACGGGCGTCCGTGCACACAGGGGCAATGGCTTCTCCTCGACAGGAGTGCATCATCTTCTGTGTGCGGGAGGAGCCTGTGCTGTTCTTGCGCGCTGAGGAGGACTTCGTGTCCTACACACCCCGAGACAAGGAGAGCCTTCGTGAGAACCTCAGGGGCCCTGGGCCGGGGGTCAAGGCTGAGAGCCTGGAGCTGGCCATCCGGAAGGAGGTGAGGGCCTGTGGGGTGCCGATGTGATGAGGGCGCTTCTCCCTCACTGGCCTCAGATGTCTGAGCGGAGACTCCAGCCTGCTCTCCAGACATGCCCCTGCAGCCATTCTGGGTGTGGGAGCCGCTCAGCCTTTGCTGGCCCACCCTCCCCGGCTTTTGTGCCCTGCTTGGGTGAGCGGTTGGCTGCCCGGTTGACCTCTTGTTCCCAGCTGGTCTATTTCTGTCCCTCTCTCTGACCATGCTCCCCCTTCACTCCCCAATCCTGGTGTAGGGAGGGGTCCGGTCTGGTAAGGAGAGATCTAGGGGTCGGACGCCCGTGGCTGAAGTTTGGCTATTCACTGGCCACGTGGGGTCCTAAGGAGTCGTTTGCTGGGCCTGTCTCTGAGATTCTGGGGTCTCCTCTTTTCTCCCACACAAAGCCTTGGGTGGGGCCTCTGAGACACTGATACCACCACCACAGAGGTATATGAATGGAATGTGGGGGTCACAGTGCTTCAGAGATAGATGTATGTGGGGAAGTCCAGGCCTTGCTGGGGACCAGCCTCTCCCTGCCTCTCTTACTTCTGCTTCAGCTGGCTGAGCCTCGCCCCGTCCTGGGATTCAGGTGGCTTTCGTGCGCTTCTGCTGCCCCCTTGGGCAGAGCCTTCCAGCTGACCTCCATGGAGGTCCTGGTCAGCCCTTGCAGGTCTGGCTGCCCTCAGGCCTGATCTCTGAAGACAGGACAGAATGCCTCTGGCCATGTGGCTCCCCTCTTGAAAAGAAGCCTGTGTATAGCCCCTGTGTGGCCTGGTCACCAGAGCTGGGCAGGGACAGTCAGGGCGGCCTAGGAAGCTCAGGTCACACCCCCTCCGACTCCTGCATCTCACTCTAGATCCACGACTTTGCCCAGCTGAGAGAGAACACGTACCACGTGTACCACAACACAGAGGACCTGCGTGGGGAGCCGCGCACTGTGGCCATCCGAGGTGAGGATGATGTGCACGTGACCGAGGAGGTGTATAAGCGGCCGCTGTTCCTGCAGCCCACCTACAGGTACCCGGAGCTGATGTCCTCTCTGGGCTGGCTCTCCAGCTGCCGCCTCAGTTTCCCCATCTGCCCCTCAGGCCTGTGCTTGGGGAATGAGGGCTTGAGCTGCTACCCAGAGTCGTTGCCTGGCTCATGGGCCGTTCTCCTCTCCTGGCAGGTATCACCGTCTCCCCCTGCCAGAGCAAGGGGCCCCCCTGGAAGCCCAGTTTGATGCCTTTGTTAGTGTCCTCCGGGTAAGTGGGACTGAGGGGAGTTCTGAGAGTGGGAGCTAGGAACTGGTGCCACTTGTTGGTCCCCATGGAGATGCTCAGGGTGGGGGGTGACCTCTGGCTATCTCTGGGGACGTTTCCATCTATTATGTATATAGGGTCCAATATGTTGGGGTATGGGGTGGTGTCTGTGTCCTTACGTGTGCATATGTGCCTCCTCCTGCCATGTGTGTACACATGTCTGTGTGTGCACACGTACACCTGAGTACACATGCCACAGTTCTCTAATGCCAGAGTCTAGCACTGGCTGGAGGACCCAGTTCTGGCCATGGCTTGGCTGCCCACTCGCTGTGTGGTGTTGGAGACCCTTCCTCCTCTAGCCCTCTCCTTCTCTCTTCAGTCAAGCTTGAGAGTCTTGCCCCACAAGCTTTTTTGTTGATATTTACTGGGTACGGGAGGGAGTCTTTCTGTCCCAACCCATTTTGGGATCGTGCCCTAATTTGTCTTACATGGGGAGGGGCGTCGGGTCAATGTAGGGCCTGAGATCCTGGGAGTAGCTCCTGTTCCAGACCCTGTGGCATTCCTGGCCTGTTCTCTGAGTTCCCTTGAGGCCGGGCAGGGGCAGGACCTGAGGCCCTGGGAGCAGATGGATCAGATCTGGCTGCGGGCTTGACATCAGAGGCCATGCTACTTGTCTGACCCTCCCGCTTGACTGGGGCCTCAGTCTCAGGGTTTTCCCATCGCACCCTCGCCTGATAGTCATTTGTGTTCCCTCCTGCAGGAGACCCCCAGCCTCCTGCGGCTCCGAGATACCCACGGGCTTCCCCCTGCCCTCCTGTTCAGCTGCCAGTCAGGTGTGGGCAGGACCAACCTGGGCATGGTCCTGGGTACCCTTGTGCTGTTCCACCACGGTAGAACCTCCTCCCAGCCAGAGTGAGTGGCCGGGGTCCAGCCAGCCGAGGGGTTGGAAGGACAGGAGAGGAGAGGGCAAAGCCATCTCTAGGATGATGGGGCCACATCCAGAGGAAAAGGCATGGTTGCCTCATTTGCCACAGATTTGCCTGGTGTGCTGGAGAGGCACTGGGCCCTTCTGGGCCTTCATTCCCCCAGTGAAATTCAGAAGGAGCCTGTAATCTGATGCCTCCCGGTGGTTGATGGGTGGCAGAGGCTGTCCCTCATCACGCGCCTGACTCTCACCTTGTCAGGGCTGCCTCCTTGCTGACCAAACCCCTGCCCATGGAGCAGTTTCAAGTGATTCAAGGCTTCATCAGCATGGTGCCCCAGGGGAGGAAGATGGTAGAGGAGGTGAGTGAGGGGCTGGGTCAGGACAGCAGGGAGGGGCTGGTCAGGACAGCGGGTGTGTGTGTGTGTGTGTGTGTGTGTGTGTGTGTGTGTGTGTGTGTGTGTGGACAGCGGGGTTGGGGGGGCAGTTGCTCCTGTCACTGGTGTGTGGGTCTGTGTGTGTCTCTTCCTCCCCCACGCCCCTTCTTGCTGACAGTCCTCTCCTGTTCTGTCCCTAGGTGGATCGCGCTGTCACTGCCTGTGCAGAGCTGCATGACCTGAAGGAAGAGGTCCTAAAGAACCAGAGGAAGCTGGAAGGCATCCGGCCAGAGAGCCCAGCGCAGGTGAGGCCAGGAGGAGCATGCTGGACTCTGCCTGGGACTGGGATTTTTCAGTCTGATGGTTCCTGGCTGCTGCTTCTCAGTCGGTAGTTTCTGGAGGGGGTGGGGCAGGCAGCTGGATCAGCGGGAAGGATGAGGAAGAGGAAGTTTATTTTTTCTGAGCAGGTCTCTTGGCTGCAGAATAAACAGCATGAACAGAGGGGCCTGCTGAGACCTCTGGACGCAGACATTTCCCAGATCATCACATCAGTCAGCTTCACGTTAGGGTGATGAGAAACCTGGGGCTGAGACCAGGAGCTTGTGAAAAGGAAAGGTTGCCCGGGGTGCCGCAGGCTTGTGGTCCCCACACTGCTGCTGAGGCAGGAGGACTGAGTTCAAGGGCAGCCTGGGCTGCATGGTGTGTTTCAGGTCAGCAGAGAGAGAAGGGGTAGAGAAAAGAAGTAGAGAGAAGGGGAGAGAGAGAGAGAGAGAGAGAGAGAGAGAGAGAGAGAGAGAGAGAGAGAGAGAGGAGAGGGGAGATGAGAGGAGAGGGGAGGGGAGGGGGAGGGGAGAGAGCAGAGCACCCATGGCTCACTGGTTCTGTTCTTCTGGCCAGCACATTATGGTGGGACAACACTTCTCACATCATGACCAGGGGACAAAAAGGAAGAGGCAGTCAACACCCTGCAGTCCCCTTTTAGAGCATATCTCCAGTGACCTTAAAGAGCTCCTGCCAAGCTCTGCCCCTTAACCCGTCACCTTCCCACGGTGTCACCCCAGGACCCAGCCTTTAATCCAGGGACCTCTGGGGGACTTTGGGGACTCATGCAGGAGGTCTTCCTACAGAGGAAACTTCTGGAGCTTCCCTGGGAAGAGTGGGCCGTGTCTATCCCTCAGCTTCAGGAGTGCTGGGCTGGCCCGCGGCCCCTGTCCCTAGCTCTGCGGAGAAGAGGGGGCTGACAGTGTTTGTGTACAGTGTACGGAAAGAATCTTACAATCTTTGCTTTCTTTAACACTTAGAAAAAAAAAAGTCCGTGAGGGCTGTGTCCCATGATGGGAAAACTGAGAAACTAGAAAAGCAGCGGTGGCATCTCATGGCGGCCGCTGCCTGGGCATTCTCTTTAACTACGTTTGCGATTCTCGGTGTAGCTGCGCCTCGTTTCAATGTGAATCCTTGGATTTTTGTCACTGAGAAGATTTTTAATGGCTCTGTCACTGAATCTCATGGCCGGGTCAAACTGCCTCGGCCTGCCGAGTCAAAGTGGGGGGCTTCCGATCCAGCGGCCTGGTGTCACTTACAGGGGCGGGGGACTTGGGCATCTGCTCTGTGCCTTCACGCCCCCATGAAGTGATGATAAGTAGCCGGGAGGACTATTGGGGTCATGTGAGGAAAGATGCACGGGACGCCTTGGAGAAGGCCGAATGTCACCTGCTGCCGTCACCAGACAGGTCCCAGTTGCTGTCACAGGAGCTGCTTCAGGACCCCATCCTGCCATTGCTTTTCCCTGGGGCAGCTTCATCTTGCAACATTGATTCCCCTCTGGCCTCTGCAGTGGGGGTCATCAAAGACCAGCCTTATCTCCTAGTCTAGACCAGGGGTCAGGGGTCATCAGAGCTTGGCTCAGGGCCCAGGGGCTCATGCTACCATGGCAACACAGAGGGGTGTGACTGAGACTGTAGCTCCCCCTCCCCCCATCTAGCATACTCACTCCCCAGCTTTTTTTTGGTTTGTTTTGTTTTTTGAGACAGGGTTTCTCTGTGTAGTTTTGGTGTCTGTCCTGGAATTCGCCCTGTAGACCAGGCTGGCCTAGAACTCACAGAGCTCCGCCTGTCTTTGCCTCCTGAGTGCTGGGATTAAAGGTGTGCTCCACCACCGCCACCTGGCTTGTGTTCCTGATTCCCTCAAGAAATGGAAAGGCTGTCGGTGCTGGCTTCTGCAGCACAGCACAGGGGAAATGGAACATGACGTGGGAAGGAGCCGCCCTGTTGTCTGCTCCTCACCCTCGCCCAGTCCCAGGCCTGGGAACCCGTACAGAGAGGCAGCATTTGTACCAGAGCCACCCTTGCTCAGTGTGGTCACCACAGAGTTCTGTGCTCCCGATAAACCACAGCAAGTGGGATAGACACGGGGAAGGACTTCCAGCCTGGCAGAACCGCCGTGGAGCTAGGAGAGCGCGCCTCCTGGGATTTTCTGCTCTTCTGCACACAGCTGGAGGGCAGCTCCACGTTTAACACCCCGGGTCTCCCTCCCTTCCCCCCGCCCCCCACCCTTAGGGAAGCGGCACCCAGCATGCTGTCCAACAGAGGGCGCTGCGGAGCCTGGAGCTGTACTTCTACCTGATTCTGTTCAACTACTATCTGCATGAGCAGGTGGGGCTGAGGCAGCACCAATCTTCCCACCCCAGCAACAGGGGACCCCATGGGATGGGGAGCGGCGTGGTATTGTGTGTGTTGGTCCCCGGGGAAGGTTGGGAGGGGCAAGAAGGGGTCCAGAGGAGTGTTGTTTCTGCCCCCACCCCATGGCCCCTTTTCCTTCCCAGCCCAGGCCTGGACTCCATCTTGGTCGGGGGCGGCGAACATCCTGGCCCTCCCTCATTTACTTGTTTCTCCCCTGGACCACAGGGGTACCCAAATTTTGGGGCTCCCTTTCTGTGGTTAGGCAGGGAGGGCTCAAGAGGGCTCCACGCCCCTCAATGCCCCGTCTCTCTCTTGGCCTCGGGCCGCAGTACCCGCTGGCCTTCGCCCTCAGTTTCAGTCGATGGCTGTGTACCCACCCTGAGCTGTACCGTCTGCCCGTGATGCTGAGTTCAGTGGGGCCCCTGGCCCCTGGGGACCTCATCGCCAAGGGTTCCCTGGTGAGTGGCTGTGTGTCCGGGGAGTGGGCTGGGCTGAGGACTTCTAGATTCCTGTAGGGCTTGGGGAGTATTGCCGGGTGGGTGGGTGGGGTGGGGGCTGGTAGGCGTCTCACGTGAGCAGAATGTGCCACGTTCGGGCGCCATGTTCTGGTTCTGGTTCTAGCACTGTCCTCCTTAGTCTGAAAGCCCAGAGCTTTGACACAGAGTCAGGTTGGACTGTCAGATATCAGAGCTGGGGGGCTGGAGAGATGGCTCAGAGGTTAAGAGCCCTGGCTGCTCTTCCAGAGGTTCTGAGTTCAATTCTCCAGCAACCACATGGTGGCTCACAACCGTCTGTAATGAGATCTGGCGCCCTCTTCTGGCCTGCAGGCAGAACACTGTATACATAATAAAAATAAATAAATCTTAAAAAAAAAAAAAGATATCAGAGCTGGCGCTCTCTGGAGGGTGTGCATCATCACATCCCTGCCAGGGCACCAATAAGGCTGCGGGTGTCCAACCATGTACGCCCTGCACCCAGTATAGGACACTGTTCCCACCCCACTTGCCCACTGAGGCTGGATATGGTTGGTAACTGTGGACTTCAGCCTTGGTGTCCTTCCCCCAGGAAGCAGACGATCTTGTTTCCCCGGATGAGCTCAGCACCGTCAGAGAGATGGACGTCGCCAACTTCCGGCGTGTACCCCGCATGCCTATCTATGGCACCCGCCCAGCCCAGTGCCAAGGTGCCCGCTCCCCAGGCCCAGGTCCAAACATGGGGCAGGGAAAAGGCTAGCCCTGGCCCTGACGGCCCCTCATCCCCCAGGCCCTAGGCAGCATCCTGGCCTACCTGTCTGATGCCAAGAGGAAGCTCCGGCAGGTGGTCTGGATCAACCTGAGGGAGGAGGTTGTACTGGAGTGTGATGGTCACATCCACAGCCTGTGGCCACCTGGACCAACCCTGGCCCCTGAGCAGCTGGAGGTAAGGTTTCTGGCTTTTTGCATGGTCTGCATGGGAGGCACTCTTTGAGAGAGAAGGGGGACGAGGGAGGAGGCCCTGCACTCCTTTTGTGTAGATTGAGAAGCTGGGGCTCAGGCAGGATGATTCAGGCAGCTGCTGCTCCAGGCCTTCTATTCCTGTGTCCCCATGTCCCCATACTCCTGTGGCTTTTCTGCCCTCTGGGGTGGTTCCGACCTGAGGTTGGAACTGGGAAGTCAGCACTAGTCATGGCTCCAGCAGGCTCCTGCCTCTCAGGCCTGTCTCAGTGGCCTCTGCCCTCTGTCCTGCCCCTATCCAGGCCCTGGAGGCCCAGCTGAAGGCCCACCTGAGTGCTCCTGCCCCCAACACGAAGAACCCTACCACCCCCAGGTTCCAGAAGTGCCTGACCACACAGGAGGTCTTCAGCCAGCACCAGGGGGCCTGCCTTGGCCTTACCTACCACCGTATTCCTGTACCAGACTTCTGCGCCCCCCGGGAGGAGGTGAGGGGCCAGGCCTCTGGGGAACCAGATCTCTCTTCCTTTTCTCTGGCCTGGGGAGAGCAGCTCAACTCTATAACGGGGGCCAGGGGATTGTCTAATGGGGTCCATATGTGGCTTCAGAAGCTTGTTACCGTCTTGTGTGTGTGTGTGTGTGTGTGTGTGTATGTATGTGCGCGTGCACGCGTGCGTGCGTGCGTGCAAGTGCACATGCCCATTCATTGTATATTCTACCTGCATATACTTTGTGTTGTGGGGCCAGTGTGTGTGTGCCTTGTGTTGCAGGCATGTGTACCATGTGTTACAGGGAAGGGGGTGGGCTCGTGTGTCTGCTGGAGGGATGGGTGTATGATGCATGGTGCCCTGGTTGTGCGGGTGGAGGTTCCCATGGGGCTCATGGCATCTGTCTTGTGTTTGTGGGCTGTGTGTAGGTGGTGCATCCATGGGGGGGGGGGGGCTCATGGAGAAAACCCTGTGGGATCCGGCTCTGTGACTGAGGTGATGTTCCTGTGGCCGCTGTCGATCTGTGGTTTGTCTTACAGGTGCTGGTACATCTGTGGGCTGTGTGTGCCTGGCGTGTGCGGCTTGTGGATGTGGCTGGGATAGTGTTCCTTCTGCCTGCATGGCTGTCTGTGGACTCACAGCCTGTGGCGTGCTGCCCCCTAATGGCTGCTCTCTTAAGTGTTTGGTTGAGCTCAGGCTGGACGCGGTTCCCAGGCAGGGACTGGGCTGCAGGCTGGAAAACACCTGAGCGTGACCCGCCGGGTGGAGAGTTGGCATACTGAGTCCCAGAAGTGTGTTGTGTCTGCTCATGTGCCCAGTCCTGGGTGCCTGGGACGGGGACATACACAGGAGTGCATGCAGCTTTTCACATACGTGTGGTCTTGTGTGTATATGGACAAGGTTATGTGTAGGATGGGACACATGGACACAGAAAACTGGGGTTACCATTTGGATGGGGGTCACCAGGGTGAGTCTGGACAGCCAGTGGACACCCCTGAACTCGGACTGTGGTCTCGTCACTGCAGGACTTTGACCGGGCTGCTTGAGGCCATGCGGGCTGCTCTCTCCAAGGACCCAGACGTAGGCTTTGTCTTCAGCTGCCTTAGCGGCCAGGGCCGGACCACAACTGCCATGGTGGTGGCTGTGCTGGCCTGCTGGCACATCGGGGTAGGTGTGGCCTTCCGAGTGAGGTCAGAGGTCATCCCAAGCAAGGGGTGGGGCTGGCTATGGCTAGTGTGGAAGGGCAGAGGTCATGCCTGATGTCATCCTGGGACCCCTTCCCATCAGTCCTGACAGACCCCCCAGTAGGGGTTCCGGGTGTGGGGAGGTGGTAGAAGAGGGGAGTCTCCATCTAGCTCTGTCATCCCTCAGGGCTGTCCCGAGGTGGGCGAGGAGGAGCTAGTGAGCGTGCCTGATGCCAAGTTCACCAAGGGCGAGTTTCAGGTGGGTGTGCCCTCTGGGTCTCTGGGAGTGCTATGCGGACTGGAATCTTGGATCCTGCTGGCCGTTTAGTGGGGGGTGGGGCTGGCTTTCTGCTTCCCAGATGGACGGACTATGGCTCAGAACAGTTTGACTCTTGAGCCTCTGCCCATGGCCATAGTAGATGGGGCTGGACCCTTCCCTACCTGGCCAGGGCGCTGGGTTCTTGATAGTGTTGTTGATAACCACCTCACAGTTTCTTGAGACTCAGCTGTGGTTGGTGCCCCATGCAGGGCTGCAACCTGCTCTGTCCATCCCCCTGCTTCAGCTCAGGGCCCCTGGCTCTCAGACAGCCACTAACATTTCAGATCCAGTCTGATCTTGTATCATGCACCTGCCACACGCCATGTGTCGTATCAGACACGTGACTCCTCTTTGCACACTGGCCTGCAGCTGACCAGTGAATGGCATTACAGCTAGTTCCTGTCTACCTGGTAACTGTGACACATGCCTGCCACTTGTTCTACTGACAGTCCTGCTTCCCTGACCTCTGGGCGGGAGGTCAAGACTGCCAATCCCATGTGCCTCTGGGCCTTTGGACGTGCTCCTCTTTAGACAACGTCTTTCTTTTATGGTGAATGCTCAGATTCTTTTTTCTTTTCTTAGTGTGACAAACTCTGCTAACAGAAATCAAATTCGAGGCCAGTCTGGTCTACATAGCAGCTTTCTGGCCAGCGGGGGCTACACAGTGAAACCTTGAGTGAATAAATAAGTGTAGCTCAGTGGTGAAGTGTTTGCCCGGCATGTTCAAGGCCCTGCACTGGACCCCTACCACTGCAGTAAATAAGATAGCGTGCTTGATGAGCATGTTCGAAGTCCTGGCTTAAGCCCAGCACCACATATCCTGAGTGGGAGTGGTGGCTTATGCCTGTAATCCAGCATTTGGGTGGTAGAGGCAGGAGGATCAGGAGTTCAAGGTCATTCTCTGCTACCTAGTGAGTTTGAGGACTGTCTGGAACATGTAAAGATCCTGTCTTTTTACATGGGGGGGCAGGCAGTTAGATGGATCAGTGGGTAAAAGTCTCGTCCAACAATTAAAAATAAGAATAAGATGAATCTTGGTAAGAAACCTCACCTGTGCTTTTGACATACTCTGAGCATTTCAAACCATTAGTACTTCCTGTGGTTTACTGACATCGTCTCCCCAGCTCTCCTATTGTCTCTCTGCCTCTCCTATTTTCTCTCCGGCTCTCCCATCATCTCCCCATCCCTCCCATCCTCTCCCCGGCTCTCCCATCCTCTCCCTGGCTCTCCCATCATCTTCCTGGCTCTCCCATCATCTCCCCGGCTCTCCCATCATCTGTCACCCCGGCTCTCCCATCCTCTCCCTGGCTCTCCCATCATCTCCCTGGCTCTCCCATCCTCTCCCCGGCTCTGCTTGCCAGCACTGTGTGTGTCTTACGTTGCAGGAACCTGGCTTTCCCAGTCCTGCTGTTAATGTGCTGTGAAAGACTGAGGATTCGTGTCTGTTTCACTAAACTGTGACTGTGACAGGCAGAGGTGACATGACAGTTTAGAGGTTTAGTACTTTTTAAAGTATTTTTGTTGTTGTTTTTTGACAGGGCCTCACTATGCAGCTCTGGCTGTCCTGGAACTCACTCTGTAGGCCAGGCTGGTCTTGAATTCAGGGTTCTGCCTGCCTCTGCCTCCTGAGTGCTGGGACTAAAGTTGTGCACTACTACACCTGGCAAAAGATTTTATTTTATTTTATTTTATTTATTTTTGGTTTTTTGAGACAGGGTTTCTCTGTGTAGCTTTGCGCCTTTTCCTGGAACTCACTTGGTAGCCCAGGCTGACCTCGAACTCACAGAGATCCGCCTGGCTCTGCCTCCCGAGTGCTGGGATTAAAGGCGTGTGCCACCACCGCCCGGCGATTTTATTTTTTAATTGCATGTACCTGTGTGTCTCTGTGAGGGTATGTCCGCATGAGTGCAGGTGCTCCTGGAGGCCAGAAGAGGGCGCTGGTTTCCCTGGAACTGGAGTTGCCAGTTGTGAGGCACCTGATGCACTAAACTCAGGTCGTCTACAAGAGCAGTACATGCTCTTAATGGCTAAGCCATCCTTTACCCTGATATCCTCTTAAAAATTATTATTATTATTATTATTATTATTATTATTATTATTTAGGTTTTTTGAGACAGGGTTTTTCTGTGTAGCTTTGGAGCCTGTCCTGGAACTCACTCTGTAGCTGGCCTCAAACTCACAGAGATCTGCCTGGCTCTGCCTCCCGAGTGCAGATTAAAGTGGGATTTAAAGGCATGCGCCACCACCGCCCAGCTTAAAAAATTATTTTTATCAACTTTGGGTGTGATCCCTTAGGAACTGGCTGCCTATTATTATTATTATTATTAATTATTGACAAGCCCTAGGGACCTTCCTGTCTCTGTTCTCTGCCCTCTGTCATCACTAGAGGTACAGACATGTCCCAGTCTGCCTGGCCTTTTCTGTAGGTACTTGGGGTAGAACGTGGGTCTTCAACCTTGAGCAGCAAGTACTGTGCCAGCCGAACTGTCTCCCCAGGCCCTTCATGTTCTCTAAGGATAAAAGTCAATGAGATGAACAAAAGAGATGGACACATTCGGCCTCTTAGATTTTTTGATACCTGTGTTAAGAATGGTGGGTACAAGGGCCCGTTGAACAAGTGTGAGGACCCGAAATCCAACGGCCAGCCCTACATAAAAGCTAGGCATGGCTGTGTGTGTGTGTAACCCCACCATTGTGTGGGCAAGAGAGAAGAGGATCCATGGGGCTTGCTGAAGGCCAACCTAGGCCCTGGCTCAGTGAGAGGCTCTGTCTCAAAGTAATAAGGTAGAGAGAGAGCAGGACACTCCTTCAGTGGCCTCCATATGTGCCCAGGTCCATGCATCTGTACACACATGCACTCATATATCACATACACACATCACACATACGTACACATTTCACACATACACAGCGAGTAATGTATGCATTGAAATGAACATGTACAGACCCTCAGAACAACTCACAGAATCTTGTTTATGAATGAAAAAAAAATGTGGATGTGTGGCCTGAGCGATACCACATCCTCCTACTACCCCAAGCCAGAGAAGCAGGCAAGGGGGCTCAGGGCTGAGGATGACCCTTGGCCTTCTGTCCACTCATTCCTTCTCTGGCCTCAGGTGGTGATGAAGGTGGTACAGCTGCTGCCTGATGGCCACCATGTGAAGAAGGAGGTGGATGCGGCGCTGGACACTGTCAGCGAGACCATGACACCTATGCATTACCACCTTCGGGAGATCATTATCTGTACCTACCGACAGGTGAGCCCTGCCCCCCCCCCTCCCCGGCTCCTGGCTCTGCAGGATGGGCTGTGGCTTATGTGGTGGGGGAGGTCGCTGGTGCAGGTTTGAGGTGGCAGTGGGTTCAGTGGACCCTTCCTTTCTTTCTTTCTTTCTTTCTTTCTTTCTTTCTTTCTTTCTTTCTTTCTTTCTTTTAAAGATTGATTTATTTATTATGTATACAGTGTTCGGTCTGCATGCACGCCAGATCTCATTACAGATGGTTGTGAGCTACCATGTGGTTGCTGGGAATTGAACCTGGGTCCTCTAGAAGAACAGCCAGTGCTCTTAACCGCTGGGCTCTCTCTCCAGCCCCCTCTTTCTTTCTTTTTGGTCACTTTCCCACCTCTTAGAAGGGACTGTGGACCTGGAAACAGAAATGTCAGCAGCCCCTAAGCCACTGCCACCCGATCTGGGATAACATACGCATTAGAAGCCTGCTGTGGGAGGGGCCAGTAAAGAGGAACACCTGAGACCTCTGTGGGATGGAGCACGATTCTAGTATGGGACCCTGGGGTCTCAGAGGCCAAGCAGAGAATCAGGTGTGTGGCAGTGTGACGGGAAGCAGGGACGAAGCTTAGCACTGCGTGATGTGGCTGCTCTACCCCAGGACAGGTTTGTCTACACTGTTTGGGGTCTGGGTCTGGTCCCCATTTAGTTTTTTTTTTTAATTTGCTCAGTTAAATCTTATTTTACATATTTACTTATTTGTGTGTGCACGGCATGAGTGTAGGGGTCAGGGACAGCTTGTAGGAGCAGGTTCTCTCCTACCATGTGGGCCTGGGAATGGATTGAGGTCGTCAGGCCTGGCGGCAGTTGCCTTTACCCACAGAGCTATATTGCCAGTCACCCCAAATAATGATAATAATAATTATTATTATATAATAATAAATAATAAAAATAATTATATAATAATAAAAATATTATTTTTTTTTTGTTTTTTTGAGACAGCGTTTCTCTGTGTAGTTTTGGTGGCTGTCCTGGAACTCACTCTGTAGCCCAGGCTGGCCTCGAACCCACAGAGATCCGCCTGCCTCTGCCTCCCAAGTGCTGGGATTAAAGGCATGCATCACTGCCGCCTGGCCCAAATGATTTTTTAATACCTCACTACATTGTAAAAATGTCTTCAGAATGGTTCAGATTTAATGTATGAATCTGGGGCTTTCAGATATTTAGAAAGAATATGCCTTTGAGTTTGCCTCGGTCCCCTTCTCTGCCTGTCATGGGACTTGCGGGCTGGGCAGGTGATGGAGTTAGCAGCTTCAGGACTCTGGCATGTGGGAACTGGGTTGGTCATGGGGACAGAGATCCCTGCTCCTCAGCCTGGAAGCAGGTGGGTAAGGGCAGTGCTGCATGGTACCAGGAGGTGGCAGTGTATGCCAGGGCTGGGTGATGGTCAGGGCAGCTTCTGCCCGTGTCTTGTAAGAGGAGACTGTACCAGGCCACTTGTTCAGCCTCAAGTTGGGGACACATGACCAGAATGATCCAGAACAGCCTTGGCTTGGGGCCCTGGGGTCAGATTCTGATTGGGTCAGAGGGGAGGCCCCTGTGTGGAGGCGGCCTGGGCGTGTGGGGTAAGGTAAGCCTGGGGGAAAGTTCAGAGTAAGAGGTTGCCCCTCATGGGGAGGAGATGATGGATCAGGAGCTTCCAAAATGGACTTGGCACCCTTGGGAGACATGATGTACCTGTGATTAGGTCCCTCATCTCCAGGAAACTATGAGTTAGTTACCTTTGTGTCTCATACTGTCTTAGGTTTCTGTTGCTGTGATGGACACCATGACCGAAAGCAACTTGGGAGGGGAAGGGTTTATCTTATCTTACAGCTCGTAGTCCATCATCCGGGGAAGCCAGGGCAGGGGTCCTGGAGGCAGGCACTGATGCAGAGACCTGGAAGAACACTCCTTACTGACTTGCTCCTCACGGCTTGCTCAGCCTGCTTGCTTATACAACTCAGGATCCCCTGTTGAGGGGTGGTACCACACACAGCGAGCTGGGCCCTCCCACATCAGTCATCAATCCAGAGAATGTGCCTCAGGCTTGCCCACCACCCTGCCTGGTGGGGGCATTTTCTCACTTGCGGTTCCCTCCTCTTCAATGACACCAGCTTGTGTCAGGTGGGCATAAAACTAGCCAGCACACACTCGCTGCCACTGTTCAGAGCCCCACCCCCGAGTACGAGAGCTGAGGCCTCTAGGTTCTGGCCGCTGGAGGCTCAGGCCGTGGAAGGGGGTTGCTTAGGTCTGCCTCAGAGGATGTGGGCCAGGCCCCCTTCTCTCCATCCCAACCCCAGAGCTCACAGGCTGTCGTATATTAGGAATCTTAAAAGTTCTTAATAATAAAAACAAACCTGGAGTCAGGTATTGGGGTGAACGCTGGAAGTTCAGAGAGACAGAACCAGCCATAGCCACCTCACCTTGCCAATTCCTCAGCTGATCCTGTTTCCTCAGACTGGAAGCCTCTGTGTCCTCATCTGGAATGAATCTCAGCTGAACTGCTGCTAGAAGCCTGAAAGCTTAACCAGCCAAATGCTTCTAGTTTCTGGTCCTCACGCCTTATATACCTTTCTGCTTTCTGCCATCACTCCCTGGGATTAAAGGCTCAGTTTCTGGGATTAAAGGCGCGTGTGTCACCATGCCTGGCTGTTTCCAGTGTGGCCTTGAACTCACAGAGATCCAGGCGATCTCTGCCTCTGGAATGCTAGGATTAAAGGTGTGAGTGCCACTATTTTCTGGCCTCTGTATCTAGTGGCTGTTCTGTTCTCTGACCCCAGATAAGTTTATTAGGGTGCACAATATTTTGGGGAACACAATACCACCACACTGTTGCTTCTTTGGGACTCTCTACCTGTATGTCCACTGTGAGGACAGAGAGGGAGCAGACAGCATAGGGAGGGGTCCTGGGCTGCAAGGCGAAGCCAGGAGCTGGTCTCAAACAGCCCAAGAGGAATCACCGTGGGCCTCCAGGGCCACATGGGCCAAGGCCAGGAGTCCTAAGGGTTCCTAGTGGGTTTGGAGGCACTGAAGGCTATTTGGTAGCACAGTGCTGTCAGCAGTCACCAGAAGTGAGATTGGATGGGTAGCTAGCTGGCTTTACTCCTGGGGAGTGAGGTGGCAGGGATGGAGGTGAGGGACGGAGCTGGGTTTGAGGGGAAGTAGCTTGGCTGACTTCACAGTAGAGTGTTTAATGGAGGAAACTGAACAGGTGAGATCTCTCCCCAACTCCCCACCAGGGTGCCCCTCACATTTCCAAGGCTAAGTTGGCACCTACCGGACCACTCCCTGCATGAAGTGAAATCCCAGAGTAACCATCCCAGGGTCCCTGAAGGAGCCAGAAGCTGGATGCAGTTATTCACAAGTGTGGCCACCAGGTGGCCCCAGTGAGCTAAATTAGGGTAAATCCCTCACCACCAACCACCTTCCCATTGAACCCAGGGCCTTACTACAGGTACTCTGCCTCTGTGGTTTGTGTGTGTGTGTGTGTGTGTGTGTGTGTGTGTGTGTGTGTGTACATGCCATGGCACGTGTGGAGGACTTTTTAGAATTATTCTTTCCCACCAGTGAATTTCATGAGGATTAAATACAAGTTGTTGGCTGGGCAACAAGTGTCTTTACCTGCTGAGACATCTTGCCCAGGCCTTGTTATTTATTTTGGAAGTAATTTTACTTACTATTAGTAAGTGTACGATGGGAAGGGGTGTGTCACAGCGAACATGTGAGGGTCAGAGATTCTCTCCTTTCACCTTCATGTGGGATCTGGGGATTGAACTTGGGTCATCAGACTTATACAGCAAATGCTTTTCCTGGCCAAGCCACCTTTCTGGCTCCTTCTATCTTATCTTGAGGTGGGGTCTTTTGTTTGCTAGGTGGCCCTGAGCTTTCAAGGATTCTCCTGTCCCCACCGCTCATCTTACTGTAGGAATGCTGGAATTATAGGCAAGAAGTATTATATCTGGCTTTCTTTGGGTTCTGGGGATTCAAACCCAGGACTTCACACTTGTGTGCAAGTACCTTCCCGTCTGAGCCATCTTCCCAGCCCCTAGGACACGTTCTTAAAGGTGCCATAGAGTGTGTGTGTGGGGGAGCGGGGGTCCCTGAGACTCTCAGTGGGGCTTTCACTCTGCTTGTGTGCAAGAGGTGCATGGGGAGATTTTAGCATCTGGTGGTTGGGCTCCCTCCTAGAGTCCAGCTTGGTTTGCTTTGTGACCAGTGTGTGAGTAGCTTTTAAAATTTGCCTGGGTGAGTCCAGGGTACAGCCAAGGCTGAGAGCCACCTCTGGTGAACTGGGGTCTCCTCCTTCAGCCCCTCAGATCCCCCTGCAGGCTTGCCAAAAATGCAGATTGCTGGGGCCATCCCAGAGTTTCAGGATGTTCCGCAGCTCTGAGACAGTACTCATGGCTCGGAACTGGGATGGCCTGGGGCCTGGGCCGCGTCTGTTGTAGCCCAGCTTATGGAGCTGTAGCTCACAGACTGCCTAATGCATGCATGTGTTTAGAGTAGACTGGTCCACGGTTGCCACGGCAACAGGGAAGTCAGAGCATGGTCAGGGCCACAGAAAGAAACCTCACACCCCGGCCACCGGCAGCTCCATGTTTCCTGTTGAGTCTTTCTGGATTTACTTGTCTGTTTTTACAGAGACATGAGTGTGTCAAACACATCTCATAATAATGGAATGATATATTGTACTTTTGTGTGTATTTCCTTTCTTTCTTTCTTTTTTTTTTTTTTTTTGACAGGGTTTCATTATGAAGCTCTGGCTGTCCTGGAACTCACTATGTAGACCAGCTTGGCCTTGAACTCACAGAGAACCACCTGCCTTTGCCTCCTGAGTGCTAGGATTAAAGACATGAGCCATGGCACCTCTTTCATTTTGAGACAGAGTTTCCCGTATCCTGGGCTGGCTTTGAATTCCATATGTATCTGAAAATGGCCTTGACTGTCAAGGGGGTGGGAGGCAGACATCAAACCCTGTCTGTTTTTGACTC